AATCAGAGCAGACTGCACTTGTCGGAAGGAGGGACTTTGTAAAAAACAAAACGTTTGAGAGAGGCGGAGCATAGAGGACCTACAATAATGTACAGTATTTGAAAAATAATGTGTTTTTTGAACATTAAAGCATGTCAACATATTCTGGTACACCAAATACACAAAATAATGATCTTTAAAAAAGCATCAAATGACACCTAATTGAATATGTGTATGTGCTCATTTACCTAATGAATTGGAAACCGTTATTCACTGGAACAGCACCGTATGACATTATTATACAAAAAAAAGGGGGGCAGAGCAAAGAGAAACACTGCCACGTAATAAAATGCGATTGTGAAAGTTTTCACAAATCGAGTTCGACCTAAAACAATGTTTTTGTATTCCAGCAGTCTGCGTGTTTATTGGTAATAGACGTTAAACATGAAGAACGCCTTTTCTTCACAAATTCACAGATCAAGCTGGTGAAGATGACAACGGTTTTATTCCTCTAAGTGTCCAACTTTTGGAGCTATAGGCATTATAAAATTAAGAGTCGCTTTAAAAAAAAAAAAAACTGATTTCAGCCCGAAGGACAGCGTCACCTGAATTCACAAATCATGGAGAATGATATTCGGTATTATTTGCATGTCTATGACAGCACACTGCATATTTATAGTCAAAAGAAATCTGAATATCAAACCGCAAACTATCTTTACTGCGGTCGTGATCTCGACATAACAAAAGTTTTCTTATCACGACTTTATTTTTTCATGATCTCGACATAACAAAAGTGGTTCTTTGAACAATGATTGTTTGATTTTTAAAACACAATGCATAGTGCGTCTACTGTTGCTATAGTAACAAACGCAACCTTGACGGGGACATTCTAAAATGCTTAACCTGGCTTAGGCTAATGCTTTAATTGAGAGTTTACTCAGCATACACATTTACCTTTAACGATTACCTCCATTGATCAAAGCATTCAGCACGGTCGTCTGTGAGTGACGTCACCTCCCAATACAAACAACATTGTGACATCACAAACCCCGAAGTTTGCATAAACCATGCCCCCGGGAACATGTATCTATCTGTAATGGTAAGGGGGCGTGACGTTTCCGGACAACGTGCACTAGGCGGTTAGCGAATCACAAACACACTGGGCCAGCTAACCAATCTGAGCCCGATTGCGTATTTATCAGGGAGGGGCTTCATAGAACCAGGAACTCAACAGACCGTTTTGACGAGAACGGAAACAGCGGTGTAAAATAAAGGTAAAATATGTGAAAAGAATGTGCTTTTTTTTTTTTAAAACGAAGCAGGAACATATGTTACACTGCACCCCATAAACACAATCAAGCCTTCGAAAAAAGCTGATCAACCACCCCTTTAATATTGCTATTTAAATATGACAGGCTCATAACTCGTAAGATATGGGAAATACAGTTGTAAATGGACTTTGCTTTTTCATTTGATATGTGGCAGTCACTGTGCATTTCCGAAAGCGAAAATGCAAACAGTAATGCAAGATTTGCAATTGCATTTGGATTATGTCACAATTTATGCGTCCACATATGGAAAACGCAATTGAAAATACAATTTGCAATTCCTTTTGAAAATAGCCTTGAATATTCTTCCATAGGCATGAGTGCAATTAAATTCATAAATTCATGTTGAGATTATAATGTTTTAAATTACAATTTTGAATATAGAAATATTAAATAAT